TGAAATTTTGAGCTTCGACAAGACTGAGGTTTTTTTTCCCAAGGTTGACCTGTTAGCTTAGCTTCTCAGCTTAGCTGCTTTTAATGATCCAAAAACACGATTTTGGACGGTTAAAACAGATTTTAAAGAGAAAAGAGAAAGGGAGGGGTCAATGAAGAACACCGGAGTTGAGCTTTTTGTCATCCAGTGTCTTCAGTAGAAAGAGAGACACAAAGAAACGATAAAGCCGATAAACGATTAAGCCGATAAATGAAAATGAGGTTGATAATTTTCATTCGTCATGTGATTAATTGATATATTGTTTTTCGCGACAGGCCTGTAGATCGTCACTTCTGACTTTGCATTGCAAAACTTTTTTACCATGTCGGTTTCTACACTAGTGTTTCTCCCTCCATTGCTCTTCTTTGAATTTTTGTAGAAAGCAGTGGACAGAAGCACTGTTGGCTTCTGGGATGCATAGTTCTTTTGACTTATGTTACAGTGTAGGCTCATTGAAAAAAAAAACTACAAAATTGCGGCGCCTGTCTGAAGTATTTTTTGTTTTGTTTTTATTTTTTGTCCTGTTGGTTGGTTCCCGCTCCTGTTTGCTCCCATTAACATTCTATCCCGTACCATCCCGATCACATGAGTAATATTAAAGTTGACAATTGTGTGTCGTGTACAATCTTACGTTGAAAACCTGCAAAACAATGAGTTCGGGAAAGTCCATTCATCCATTATCTTTTACCCGCTTCTTCCATTTTGGGTCACGGGGGTCGCCGGTGCCCATGTCCAGCAATCACTATGCGAGGGGTGGGGTACACCTTGGACAGGTCTCAAGTCCATCACAGGGCCACATAGAGACAAACGAGACAAACAACCATTCACTCTCTCACTCACATCTAGGGACAATTTAGAGTTACCAATCAAACTAACATGCATGTTTTTGGTGTGTGGGAGGAAACCGGAGCACCCGGAGAAATCCACACATGCATGGAGAGAACATGCAAACTCCACCCAGAAAGGTCCCTGGACCGGGATTTGAACCAGCAACCCTTTCACTGAAAGGCAGCAGCTCTACCAGTTGTGCCACCGTGCTGCCTGTGTTGTATATCCAAAACATAAAAAGCCTTGTAAACATAACCTTGTTAAAAAAAACATTCAATGTCTTTGATGTATTGGGTCTATTGTTTTTTTTCGTTTGTTTGTTTTCTTGTGCTTGTAAAACACATTTTATTTTTTTAAATTTGTTAAAATTTGTTATTTTGTTCGAAAACAAAAGTGTAAACTTTGCCCCGTTTATTTTTTTTCTCCGTATTAGCTCTTTGAAAACACTTGTTATATTTAGCCAAGTTTAATTAATTATTAAAATGTACTTTTTAGTAAAAGTCAGTAAAGGTTTGTGGTGCTTTGTACAATGAAATTGAAAATAAACAAATAAATCAATAAAACTTATCTAATGTAGTATTGTAGCCAATATTCCACATTTAAATAATAAATGTTCTCACCAGTTTCTCTGTTAAACCTAAACATTTTAACAATAAAATGCATTACAGTTAAAATTTCAGGGGCTGTAATTCTGCATCAACCTCTTAAGTCTGCCGGACAAAATGAGACCATTTTTAAAATGCAGTTGTGGGCCGCACAAAATCACTCCAAGGGCCGCAAATGGCCTGCGGACCGTACTTTGGACTCCCCAGAGCTAAAAGTTTGTGCGGTCACAGCTGATGGTCATCCTCAACACAAACTCTGGACTCCCAGCTCTTTAATTTGGAGTAGATTAGGATAAATCCCTCAAACACTGGAATGCTGAAAGGATTTAGTTTTTTTTAGCTCTTCAAAATATTAACCATTTTCTGCTCTTGTTTGTCGTGTAACTGATTCATTGGCAGCACTTAGAAGTCTTCCATTTTTATTCAGGTGATTAGCACATTTGTTCACCTCGGTCTGCCTCTCAGTTTAGTCATGAGGACAGGAACATCTGTCTCTTATTATTGGCACCAACGGGTGTCATCAGATCTGAACGTGAACCAGTGACAGCATCAGTGAAGCAGCTTCTCGCCTCAGCCGTCTAAGCAGGTCACTGCAGCAGAGATGTTGACAGAGGTGTGTGTGAGTGTGCGTGCAGAGGTAGGTCAGCTGAGGGTAGCCAGGCTTTGGCGTGCATGAGAATGTGGGGGTGGTGTGTTACGATGTGGAAAAGGACGATGTGGATAAGAGAAGAAGTGGGTTCAAAAGTGAAGAAAAGATCATTTGCAGCATTTCAGAACACCTCGACTGATGATTTGACTTAATGAATCACTGCATGGGTGACTCACCAACTCTGGGTAGCAACAAAAAGAACGAAGACTCAGATAAAAGTGGTTGAAATTAGTTTTCTCTGCAAGGTAGCTGGACTCTTCCTTAGAGACAGGGTGGGAAGTTCACTTGTCCAGGAAAGACTCGGAGTAGAGCTGCTCCTCCACATCAAGAGAAGACAGTTGAGGTGGTTCGAACCTCTGGTAAGGATACGCCAGTGTTCAACATGAACCCCAGGGAAGACCCAGAACATGCTGGAGAGACTCTGTCTCTCGGTTAACCTGGGAACGCTTTGGAGTTCTCCCAGAAGAGCTGGAAGAGGTAGCTGTGGAAAGAGACGTCTGGACCTCCCTGCTCAAGTTGCTGCCCCCAGAACCTGACTCTAGAACAAGTGGAAGATGATGGATGGATGAATCACTGCATGCTTAAATCATAGATTGTTGGGGACAGCTGTGGCTGAGTGGTTAGAGCAGTGGTCCTTCAATGGGAGAGTTGGGGGTTCATTTCCACCAGCAGTCACCTGCGGAAGTGTCCCTGGGCAAGACACTGAACCCCTCATTACCTCCGATGTGTGTCCCATCGGTTATGAATGTGATAAAGCACTGATTAATCTTTGTATAGGTCTCGTAGAGTGCTGTATGAATGAGTAAATGAGGCACAGATTGTGTTGTAAAGAGCTTTGTGTGTCTTGATTAGATTGAAAGATGCTATACATGTATAAACACAGTCCATTTACCATTATCTTAAAATAGTAACACATGATGTGCAAATCACTGTTAATATTACCAGTGACACTGCAGGTGGTGACATAAAACAGTTTTTAAAAACAATCATTAAAATCAACCTAAATATCAACATTCTGTCCACAACTCTTTTTTGATATAACTAATTTGATCATAGCTGATAAATATAGACAATATGCTCTTTGCTGTTATGTATTTGTTATGTACTCATATGATGTGATTCCCCCATCTTTTATCACTTGGCTGTGTGTTGAAATGAAAAGCTGACGTGCCACAGTGGACTCAGCCTGCCAGGTGGCCAGAAGTGGTTGTATTAACGTAAAGACATGGTTGACACTTTGATTCCAGGAGAGGATTGAGTGTTGCGAGGAGATGATAACGAGTCTGAGAAAGTTTCAGTTTAGGGAGCAGACGGCACAGGATGCTGTCCTCTCAGCATGGGATTTTCTCTAGTAATAAAAGAAAATGACACTTTGGAAAAAAAAAGAAAAAAGAAAGAAAACTTCCATGGATATGTAACATAAGTACAGTATGAGACATTATTGCTTTTATGTGTTAAAATGTGTTACAGCAACAAATACTTATGAAGAAAAACAGTAGTCCCTCTTTTATCGTGAGAGAAGCCCCACAATAAGTGAAAACCCATGAAATAGGAATAGTACAAGTAGTAGTTTACTTTAGTACATATATATATAGGCGTTTTAAACCCTTCCCACACTCTTTTTGCAATATTCTAAACAGTTTCTAAACTAAACATTCTAAAAGAGCACAGCATGTCATGATTTGAGCTCTCTGCCTCTAATTGCATTCTCGGCCACGCCCACTTCTCCGCTCTGCATGGAGATCAGCGCTGATCAGCTATAGGAGAAATATTCTCCCACAGCTGTGGGCTGCACACAGGTGCTAAATCATTTAAAATAATTTATTTAAATAAAAATGTCATGCCGATCATGTGACTCGACTCGACATCAATCAGCTAATTGTGTGTCATGTCCAATCTTATTTTGAAAAAAACGCAATAGTGAGAGCGCGATAATCGAACTGCGAGCGAGGGACTACTGTACATTTTAGATCGTTTTTCAGTTTAAGAGAGTAAACTTTTTTATGGGTTGTCATTGTTTGCCCTCATGAAAGATGGGCAATAATTGCAGTAACTACCTTTGTTTTTGTGTGTTTGTAACATATCTCATGATCCGCTTGTCAGATTTTATTGAAACTTTAATCCAAAGCTGAATAAATATTGGAGTCCACCTGATTCAAGATGTCTGCCACCAGAAATCAAAATTAGCAACTACAAAAATACTTACAGCTCCGTCAGTTTTAACGACATTGAGCTAAAATTCTGTTTGGTTGTTTTCACCTTAGATTCCACATGATTGTTGTAGCAAAAGTATTAGGCTCAAAAAGCCTCGGGCTGCATCCAAACTGCTACAACTAGCTAGCTACTACTGCTACTGTTAGCACTTCCGACTATTTTTTTTAATTCACAGTAAATAGGTATAACGTGAAAAACTGACAGCGATGCTTTGAAAACACATAGAGCACAGGAAAAAAATGTTGAGAATGAAGTTGTTTCAAGAAGTTCAGTTTGGTCGTGGCTAGCTGTTAGCGAGCTAACATGTCAGTCCACTCAGATTTAAACTTGATTTCTCTAAACGGAGGTCATTCAAAAAAGCTACCTACAACCAAAATAAACTTATTCTTCACAACAGAACTCAACTAAAATTAGATTTGAATGTTGTAAATTACCTTAGAGGTGTTCAGAACAGTGCATTAAATATCAAGTAGGCTAATCTATTGTTTGTGTTGCTTTTCATGGTATTTGTCTGATATCGTTTTGCATGAGCAAATCACCAGACTGTGCATGTTTGTGTTTAAGTGGTAGATGTAGTGGTTTCATTCTGTGTTAGCTAGAATAACTTCAGAAGATGGATTTGACAGGCAGGGTATTAAAATAGACATGTGTTGTTTTTGTTGCAGGTGCGGCTGGTTGTTGAGCTGTTGTGGCCCCTGTTTCTCTTCTTCATCCTGGTGTTGGTGAGGACCACCAACAAACCCATTTACAAAGGTCAATGTAAGTACAAGCAAGGTTTGTTTCTGCAGAGAAGGTTCCCGGGTGTAATTTATTTAATTTAACAACTTTAACAAACTGTTTTTTTGTTTTTTTTTACTAAGTAAAAAAGTAAGTGTAGAACATCAGTTGAATTGTATTCTATGGTTCATCCATCCATTACCTTTACCTGCTTCTTCCTTTCTGGGTCACGGGATTCCCACAGATGTTTTTCTAATTGTTCTTGTGTATATTTTTTCTATCTGATTAAATCAGCATACTTGGTGCTGTTGTAGTCATTACCATATCAAAATGTTCAGCACATTTAGGAGATAGGTGCTCTGACTTTTAGTCTGCAGCTTTTATATATATATTTTTTTATAATATTCATGTTTATTTTAAAATATTTTCCCTGTAGAAATACATTAAAAACTTTTCAACTCAGAGCATTCTTCTCTTTAATCTGCTTTATCATACTGGCTCTATTTCTGCCTTCATGTTTTATTTTTTTTTGTTTTTACCTAGCATTTTCTCTCTTTTAGCTCTTAGCTAGTCTTTTGCTGCTTTTCACTAGCATGCTGCTACGCTTAGCTTCCACCATTTTGCCACCTTAGCTTTTAGCCTTTTGGAACCTTTTGTTCCTAGCTAACATTGCTACATTTAGCTTTTATCTAACCTTTTGCTATTTTTAGCAAAAATTTTGCTGCTTTTTAACTAGTGTGCAACTACTTTTAGCTTTTACCTACCATATTGCTACATTTAGTTATTTGCTAATCTTTTGCTGCATTTTGGTTTAGGTAGCCTTTTGCTACCATTATGATTTATCTTAACATTTTGCCATTTTAACTTTTGAATAACTTTTTCATGCATTTTGTTTTCGCTAGCCTTTTGTTTCTATTAGCTATTAATAAACATTTGCTGCATTTAGCTTTTAGCTAACTTTTACTATTTTAGACTTTATTTAAGCCTTTCCTGCTTTTAGCTGGTGCAATCATACTTTAAGTTTCAAGCTACAATATTTAGGTTTTGGTTAGTATTTTGCTATTTTTTTTTAGCTAGCATTTTGCTACCTTTAGCTTACAATTTTTTTGCTACTTTTACTTAGCCTTTTGCTTGATTTTTAGCTTCTACCTAGCATTTTGCTACTTTTATCGTTTTAAATATTTATTATTTTATTATTTATATATTTTGCTTTTAGCTAGTGTTTTTCTTTTTAACTTTTAGCTAGTGTTTTGCTTTTTATCTTTTACCTAGTGTTTTGCATCTTTTAACTCAGTTTCATCTTTTTAAGGTATTTGTAATAAAGCCTTTAAGCACTCAGTGTGTCTTTAGTTTCTTTTGTGTTGTCTTTTAAAAAAAACGTGTGTTAGGTACAGAGCTGGGTAGGAGAGTAAACATCTTTTTTCTCCTGTAGGTCACTACCCAAACAAAGCCATGCCATCTGCAGGTGTTCTGCCCTGGCTTCAAGGTTTGATGTGTAACATCGACAATCCCTGTTTTGACTATCCGACGCCGGGGGAGACACCGGGCCAAGTCAATAACTTCAACAACTCCATGTACGTACTGGGATGTCCTCTGTTCTGCTGTACACACACATGAAACATGTCTTGATTATAGCTTTTTTTTTAATTCTTCGAACATATACTGTACCAACATTATTTGGTTTCTTTTGTCTTTCAAATGTTCCAGAATTGCTGGGATCTTAATTGAGCTGCAAACCAGTTTGGTAGACCGGTCTGTTCTCAGTAAGGCACGGCTGCTGGTGGATGATGCCAACCAGTGGTCTTCTCTCCTGTCTCGGTCCAACCCTGGCAGTGGTAAGGATGGTCTTTATGGGTAATTATTGCCCACTACCATAAATGAATGGGGTTTAAACTAATCACATGTGTCTTTGTTTTAGCAAGATATCTCATGAACCACTGGGTGGATTTTTAAAACGTTTACAGAAGGTTTTCATTGGTTGTCCAGACCATAACTGGTTCACTTTTGAAATCAGCACAATTCAAGATGATTGATACAGTTTAACAGACTTAGCAACTCCCAAAAAACACAGTAATTCATACAGATACTGAGCTAATTCAACGTATTTTATTTTTATTTTATTTAACCCTTATTTAACCAGGTAAATCCCATTGAGATCACAGATCTCTTTTGCAAGGGAGGCCTGGGCCTGATAACATGCATGTTTTTGGTCTTCTTATTTGTATTAGTAGCTGAGTATTAGTAGCTGAGTATTTACAGTATAGTATAGTATAGTATAGTATAGTATAGTATAGTATAGTATAGTATAGTATAGTATAGTACCTCATATTTTAAGTCATGGGTGAGCGACTTTTTTTTTCCCAGAGGGCAAAATCAGGATATTTAAAGCAATCAATGGGCTGCGTAGAAACAGTGGTTCCCAACCCAGGTCCTCAAGGAGCACTATCCTGCATGCTTTGATTGTTTCCCTGATCTAGGGAACCAAGGTTGGGAACCACTGGCAGAGAGGACTGGAAAATAATTTTTCTTTAACACTTGAGATGTGGACAGCTTTTTGTTAGTTTTTTTGGTTTCATTTTTGTAGCATAGTTATTAGCATGTTTGAGAAACACGTTTCTTTAATACTCTTTAGGAATATAAGACATACTTCCTGTAAAATGGCTCTTATATTATATATTTGTTAGCCTAAATATATGGAAAAAGGTTTCATGTTTGCTTTTTTGAGTCTTTAAGATTCAGTTTAGTTCTGGAAACACAACTTGAAAAAAAAGTTGTAACCTATCTTAAATCCAAAAGTTTTTGATATACTTGTCCAAGATGTTTAATTTAAACTTCCTTAAGATTCACTGGTAACATTCTGGTTTCTATTACATTTTTTAACTTGTTTTCTTTTCAATTAAGAATTTGGGGACTGGATGGAGATGGTCTGAGGGGCACTTTTGTCCCACGGGTCATACAGTATGTTGCCCATGTCTTGTCTAATAAGTGCACATGTTATTTGTTGAAAACTTAAAGGCATAGGCAATGGGCATTCCTTTAAAGAACTCCATTTTCTAGTTTCTTTATTCACCAACATGACCTAAAACAATGATTTTCTAAAACTGAACTGCTAAATGGTATCAAAATTGCCAAGGAAATTTGCATCACAGCTGAGTTTTGTTAAAAAAAAAGAAGTTTTTGCCTCAGCTGAAATCACTGCCAATGCTTTTGTCAAGTGCTTTCGATCAGGGGAAGTGTCCCCCTTCGTGTGGATGACAAGTGCAAGGATTTGTTATTCCCCTTCATTCCTCAAAAACAGTGGCGTGTGATTATTTATGATGCAATTTGCTGTGCAGACTGACAGATCGTTTGTCTTGATAAGTTGCTACTTTGCATTAGGCTCATTTAGTCTGATGATATTCAGATTTTCACACCGCACCTAATTTGCAAAAAGGCAACAGAGGGAGGAGAAAATAAAGGAGGGAGGGAGCAAGGCTGTTCAACAAGCAGCTTCTGGGTCCATTTGCATTTTCGGGGGTCGCTGGTTTGTAATATACAAGATTAAATCCATCAACGATCTAAGTCCGAACATAATTAATGGGGACTTGCTGCTGTCTGAGGCAAGAGCACAGAAGATCAAGCAGGGAAAAAAAGTAAAGAAGAGCTATTGAAATGGCAAAGGTGATTGTGTTGTCCTTCCTTTTTTGTGTGTGTTTTGACCACGAGTTGATTAAAATGACTCAGGTGGTCACTTCACTCTGAAAGAATGTGCAGTGTCCCCCGCACCGTCTCCATCTCCGTTCGTCCTGAAGAGCACGAGTCATCAAAAGAAAGCTGTTGTATCAGGCGAGAACATTTCCAATTAATTCCAGTTGTTTTTTCACCAAACCCTGTCATAAAAACCTTTAAAAGCTCATCATTCACACAAGTGACTGAGTTATCCCACACTACCAACACAAAAGTAACAATATCATTTTTTGACATTAGCTCTTTATCGCCTGCTGCAGAACATGTTGGAAGTCCCAGGAAGCACAAGTAGAAAAACGTCGCCCTGGTAGGGGTTGATGAGCAGTGGCGTGCAACTAATTCTACCACTGACTGAAGAAAGGCAACGATGATGGAATCAAAATATCTGATGGACCACATCATTGGGTGTTGATGTTAAGTTCTCCTTAGCACCTCTCATATGTGGAGTACCTCAGGGCTTTATACTTAGCCCTCTTCTTTTTTTCTCTTTATTTACCCTTTAGGATATCCGGATGCATGATCAATAATCCAGGTAGAAAAATCTAAAAAAGTTAAATCTGGTCCTCTGGACATTCAAAAAACAAAACAAAAGAACAAAATAATATAGAAACGTTTCGTCTTTCATCCGAAAGACTTCCTCAGTCTGAGGTGCTGTATTCAGCTCAGTCTTATAAATAGCACCTTCTCAGAGTAGATCAACTAATGGGTGGAGGCCTCCTTGTTCAACGGTCCCTCTCTTACAATGCTGTTATTGCTAGTATCACTCAGCCCTCTGTGAGTAGTAAACAGCCATCAGTGTGCTAATGATCCATTTGTTAGGCTGATGGTCCTCCTTGATCATGTGAGCAGCTGGTTTTGGTTGTCAGCAGCAAAACTGGTTGATCCACTCTGAGAAGGTGCTAATTAAGAGACTGAGCTGAAAACAGCACCTCAGACTGAGGAAGTCTCTTGGATGAGAGACGAAACGTTTCTACATTTTTTTTGTTGTTGTTTTGCTTTGTTTTGTTTTTTGAATGTCCAGAGGACCAAATTTAACTTTTTTAGATACCCTTTAGGATCTATTCTCCAGAAACATGGTGTCACTTTCCATTTTTATGCTGATGATAGCCAAATTTATGTTCCACTAAACTCCGTGAACCAACTCCTAGAATGTATCGCAGAAGTCAGAGCATGGATGTTGCTGAATTATTTACATTTTAATGAGCAAAAGACTGAGGTCTTTTTGTTTAAGCCCAGCAATGCTTCTAAAGTCCATGCTGATCTCGGTCTTTTAACAAAACATCTGACTCAGACAGCAACTAACCTGGGTGTGAGGCTGGACAATGATTTTAAACTTGATGCACAGATTAAATCAGTGATCAAATCTAGCTTTTATCACTTGAGACACCATGCTTTCATCACAACTCGTCTAGACTACTGTAATTCAGTTTATGTCTGTCTGAGCCCATCATTATTGACTCAGCTTCAGCTGGTTCAGAATGCCGCTGCACGCCTTTTAACTGGTACCAGAAATTGAGAGCACATCACCCCTATTTTAGAATCACTACATTGGCTCCCTGTTTGTTTTCGAATTAATTTACAAGTTATTTGAATTGTTTTTAAATGTCTTCATGTTCTCGCCCCACCCATCAGTGTACAGCACTTTGGCTAACTGTTATTTTTTTAAAGTGCTTTATAAATAAAGTTTATTGTATTGTATTTTTTTTATGACTAATCAACTCTGGCAGTTAGCTTAATTCAAAATGGCCACCACAGCCTGCTGATCTTAAGCAAATGGCTCTAACTCATCCATTTTTAGAGATATTAACTTAAAAGTTTGGTGTTGTAGTAGCTCAGACTGAACCCAACAGATGATCTCTGTTTAAAACATTGCCGTTAAATATCTGGAGTCAGTTCTGTCTGTTAGCAAAATATCTCGTGAGCCAGAGCATGGATTTAAATTGAACTTTCAGGAAACATTTATTGGGTGTGCACCTACAATTCAGGTGGCACGATGGCTCAGTTGGTAGAGCTGTCGCTTCTCAGCAAGACGGTTGTCGGCTCAAATCCTGGCTTTCTGAGTGGAGTTTGCATGTTTCTGTGCATGTGTGGGTTTTCTCTTGTTTCCTCCCACAGACTAAAAACATGCATGTTAGGCTCATTGCTAACTCTAAATTGTATATATGTGTGAGTGAGAGAGTGAATGGTTGTTTGTCTCGTTTTTTCTCTATTCGTCCCTGTGACGGACTGGAGACATGTCCAGGGTGTCCCTCTCACACAGTGACTGCTGGACACAAGTGACCCCCTGCGATCCAGAAAGAAAAAGGCGAGCTCAGATAATGGATGCACGGACATCTACAACTCATTAACTTCTGGAGTCAACCCAATTCAAAATGGCCACCACAGCAAACTGATTTTAGAAAACACAAAAATGGCCGTAGTTCAGTCAGTTTTATAGTTATGGTGCTTAAACTAGGAATGGTAGTAGCTGAGAGTCACAACTCACATTACTTACTTCACAAGATCTTCATTTACAACTTTACTGACACCAGTGAGAGTCAACCTCGTTAGCTTTTTAGCAAAATATCTCATGAGCCACTCATCAGACTTTATTGAAATCATCAGATGTGCAGCTACGACTGACTGATGTTTGGAGCCATGCTGATTCAAGATGGACGGCTAATCAAACTTAACTAACACAAAAATAACTAACAGTCCGTTTTACAGCTGTTGGAAAAAAAATAGAGTCACACCCAGCTGAAGGTGACGGGCAGCATTTGTTTAATTAAAGTCCTGAATTATTTTTGTTTATGATCTCCACATGAATAACACCTCCTCTTTCTTTTTTTTTTTGACCAGTCACCGTGAGGAGTATTCTGAAAGACAATGAAACTTTCACCACGTATCTGACCCAGAATTTGTCAGTTCCACCAGCAGTGGTCCGAAGCCTCATGAACGCTCAGATCCAATTCAATCTTGTAAGTAGAATATGCTCTTAACATATTTAAAACACCTTAAAAATGATTTTTTTAATGCTCTACTGTGACTATAGGAATTTAAATATTATCATTCAGTTCAAAAGACCGAATGTGCCAAGAGTGCTGTGCTGGAACTTTTCAGGCTGAACTGTCCTGGCCCGGAGCAGCCGTTGGGACTCCTTGCTTCGATATTCATATTCAAAGCACTCTCTGGTATTTAGTTGAACAAAGTAATTTGAAACAGCCCACGGACAGCAGTTTGGAATGAAAAAGGTGTCAATTAAAATAACGAGTGTAATTTTAAAACGTCAACAGTTTAGGTTTTTATACGCATCTATACTGAACAAACTATTAAAGCAACACTTAAGTTTTTACTTAAATTTTTCAGAAGCTGAACTCAAATATCCAAGATTTCCTTTTACGTGCACATTAGGCGTTTTTCGCTAAAATACTGTTCACAAATTTGTGTAAATCTGTGTTAGTGAGCGCTTCTCCTTTGCCGAGGTAATCCACTTCACAGGTGTGGCATATCGAGATGCTGATTAGACAGAATGATTATTACACAGGTGTGCCTTAGGCTGACCACAATAAAAGGTTGGTCTAAATGTGTACACCACAGATAACGCAAATTCTGAGGGACATTCCTGCACGCTGACTACAGGATTGTCCACCAGAGCTGTTGCCTGTGAATTGAATGTTCATTTCTCTACTAATTGTAATAATTAAAAATAGATTGTATGTTATAATAATAAAGTAATAAGGCTAATTTAAGCTTTTTTAGACTTTTTCAGCTACTTCATAGGCGTTTTCTCTTCTAATTTAAAGATTTTTTCTGCTTCATTGTTTGTTAATTTCTGCCTTTTGTGATTGTTTTAACTAATTTTAACTTTTTATGCTTTCAGCTTTTTTTCTGCATCTTTTTCAGCTATATATTTTTTCTAATTCCAGCTTTTTTCCCATAGCTTTATTAGCTACATTTTTTTCCTAACTTCAGATTTTTTTTGTAATCTATTCAATCTCTCTGCCTGTTTCATCTTATTTGTCTCATTTCTGCTATTTTGAGCTATTATTACACATTATTACACATTTCGGCTCTTTTTCTACTGATTTCCCCACTTTGTCCCTGCTTTCAGCAAATCTCATTAAATTCAACTCACATTAACAGTTTAGAGATGAAACATTTTTCATCCTGGTTTCAGCTTCAATAACTTTCAGGGAAAATCCTTCAGCAATAAGCGTCCTCACTGCATTTTAGCAGGAAATTCAATTTTTTTCTGTTATGAGTTACTTTTCTCATGCCAACAATTTTCAGTCAGGTCATCTGGACTGCACGGATTATAAGGCGCATGAAGTGAAACTAAAACATTTTGACAGAATTTTGAGTGCCGTGTACCACATAAAATCATTATAAGGTGCACTGGATTTATTTTATTTTTTTTCATTCAACCTTTATTTATACAGGTTAATCCCACTGAGCCTCAGGGACTCATTTACAAGAGAGGCCTGATTTTTTAACAAAGAGTGATGACAACAATGACAACAATAGACAATAGCACTGGATTGTAAGGCTCACTGTTGATTTTTGAGAAAATTAAAGGATTTTAAATGTGCCTTATTGTCTGAAAAATATGGTAGTTCATATTTATGAGGTTCTAAGTCCTTATTATGACTTGGAGAATATTTTTGTAATGTATTTACGGTGGCATACATGGGCTTCCATAAACCAGTATTTTGTTGGTGGAAAGCCTTAAAAACCCTGAAACAACAACCTTTTTGTTAACAGGGTGTCTTCTCTTTTCAGTTCAGGTCTTCCTCTCTGGAACTGGTTTGATAAATTATCTGTGTACATCCAAATTTGTGTAGGAATGTTATTGCCTTGTCTTCCATACTTTTTATCACCCACGCTTGATATCATTGCATGATGTTGGTGCTGCATATTCTTCCAGCCATTGTGCCAATTTAGAGGCTCCATGTTCAAGTTGTTTGGTAGTTTTTTGTTTTTTTTTTGTCTCATTGGTTCAATCCCCTCCCATTCTCAATTTTATGTAAGAGTCTGAACACCCAAGTTACTCCTAAGATGATTTCCCAGCATCTGAATATAGAAAGAAGCCATTCACATCCTAAACGCAAATTAAAGAACTTTAAAGAAGCTGTATGGTAAAAACACACAAGATGTACAATTTTATCTTTTTTTTAAATTATTTACAATACAACCTCAATTACAAGAAAAGCTAGGACGGATGGTGTTAAAAATAGCTTGGTTGACAAGCAGTAAAAAAAAAGCAACTTTTCTGCTCATACTCACCATCAGTTGTTGGGACTGCTCAGAAAAGTTCTTCAAATCATTCTTAACAGACATTTCATTCAAAGATAGATAAGATATTTAACCATCATATTTTGACAAAATCCAAAAATACCAAATTTTTTTAACCAATGCACTGTCTGCCTGAATCTCAACATACTACTTTGTGACTTAATCCTCGGTTTGATGTGAAAGCTTGCATAATATAAGTTCAAGTTCAAGGTTCTTTATTATCATTCACATCACAAGTGTACATGAGGTGAAATGGTACTTAAAGTCCCAGTTACACCCAAAAATAGCAAAAATATAAAGTATAAAAAGAAACGGTATATAAGGATCTAAGATACACACTGAGTGAATGCTAAACAATACGCTAAAATATCGAAGACGTATGCTAAACACTGATAATGTAAAATAATACAGTACATTAAACAGCAGCCTGAACATGAGTCTGTGATGAGTAGATGGGTTTGAATGAGTACAGCAACGAGATAATCAGCAGCTTGAGATCAGCAGCATGGATAATCAGAATCACCAATTAAAGTGGCATTACAGTGATTATTCTGGTTAGGGATCTATGAGTCTTAACAGCCTTAGGGTAGAAGCTGTTCCTCAGTCTAGTTGTTCTACATTTAATGCTCCACAACCTCCTGCCTGAGGGGAGTGGGGCAAAAAATGTGTGTGCTGGGTGAGTGGGGTCCTTCATGATGCAGGTGGCCCTTTTCCTGCATCTGGAGGTGTAGATGTCTGTGATGGTGGGGAGGCTGACTCCGACAGACTTCTGTGCAGCCTTCACCACTCTCTGCAGAGCTTTTCTTTCTGCAGCTCTGCAGCCTCCATGCCACACGTTGATGCTGGAGCACGTGTGTTTGTTCCGTCTGGAATCCATGACCATCTCCTTCGTCTTCTTCACATTGATGTGGAGGTTATTGCACCAACTCTCCAGGTGTTCCACCTCCTGCCTGTAGCCAGATTCATTGTTATTCGTGATGTATCCATCCATGCATCCATCCATTTTAGTTACTTTATTTTGAAATTGTTTCCCTATATGAAGATGCAGTTTTTTTCAGAGTGGTGAACTTCTGCCCATCTTTACTTCTAAAACACTCTAACATGTTTTTTTTCCCCACCCTTTTCTAATTAACCTAATTCTAAGCAAAATGCTCCTACACGTTTTTCCTTAAAAAAGTTAAATTTCTTTAGTTTAAACATTTGATATGTTTACTATGTTCCATCGTGAATAAAATATGACTATGAAATTTGACACTTTTTTGTAATCGGGGTTGCATTAAACCTAATGGTATTATTAGTTTCATTTGAATTAACTATGATTTCTTTTGGTATAAGTACTGCAGATAGCTAACTCTAACATCGTAGGTAAAACCTTTAGAAGTTGTAATTTTGAATCTGTTTTTCTTTCTCTCTCTCTCTCTCTCTCTCTTTCAGATGATGGGCATGCCAAGGCCAGACAATGTGATGAGCATCCTGTGTGAGGGGACAAATCTGGATGAGTATGTTCAATTTAGCAGCCAAGCCGAGAGGGAGGCTTTTCAAAATGTCAGCTGCTCCCTCACTCAACAGCAGCTGATTAACACCCAGCAAGTCTTCCTGCAAAACCTGGATGGAAGGAAAGTGCTTTCTGGGGTACGTCTTCTCTGCTGTCATGAGCACAAAACCATTGGGCCTCACAACTTTCCTCACTAGGGTCAAATAAAACTCAAAGTAACAGCATTGAAACTTTCAAGCTACTTAAAGGAATGTTTGCAACATCTTGCAAGTACGATTTGCTTTGCAAGGGTGTCCACACTGATTGGCTTGATTGGACGTATGCACATCTAGGAATATCTTACCAGTGAGGCTTCTGTGCCGAGGTCGGTTCAGAAGCAGTTGGTCTAGGGGTCAAGTGAAAGGGTGGGAAAGAGGAAGTATATGGAATAGATTTAAAACGACCTAAACTGAAGTTTCCTAAAGTTTTCTGTTTTGAGATTTGAGTGGTGTTACCTGTGAGGCTTCTTTGCTGGGTGAATAGATGCAGTATGGTGGTACTGGGTGATTGAGGTGAAAGGGTAAAACAGGTGAAAAAGATGTAGAAGGTGCATACGATAGAAAAAGAGGGGCTGACTCCTAGGACTTGTTTTTTTTATGTTTTATGTCTTCGTCCAGCCATCTTGACCTCATACACATCTTACTTAATGTTGGTCTTCCTTGGCCTCTCCTCACTGCTCTCTCCTTTACCTGAGGAACGTCCCTCCTGACACCGAGTATCGGGTCTTGTTTCCTGGTCATTCACTTCGCTTTTCGTTTAGTTGCTGTTTTTAGACGTCTCTTCTTCCACTTGACCTTTCTCCCTCTTAAAGTCTCCACCTTGTTCATCAGTCATGTGGATTCTCTATCTTCATCCTTGATCATTCTCAGCAGCTCCTCCTACTCCTTGTGGTTCTCCTCAGCTTCTTTTAACTGGGACTGAGCCTGGTCTCTAAGAATGGAACCTTGCAGGTCCTCATTTTGCTTAGCAAAGCTGTATTTTAGCAACATCAAGCTGGACCTCATGCTCATGTACTGTTCAGTAGTGTTGAAAGTTGTCTTCTCCTGGGGCCTTATGTACAAAGGGTGTGTATGCACAAAAACATGGTGTATGCCCCTTTTCACACAAAATGTCAGATTCATTAAGAATGAAATGACTGTGGAAATGTGCACAGCCCCACACCAACGTCATGGCTGGCGTACGCACGTTTCTATTGTTATTGGTCCTTTGTCGACACTTAGAAGTGATACTGGGAAACTGTTAATGATGTGAAAACTATTATTCTGCACACAGGACACACGTGATGAACATTAATACATCCACATGTATGCAATTAAATGATATAAAATTATGCACAAAGAGATGCAGAAAATACCTTTAACAACAATGTCTTTAGCCTTATTAGAGGATATAGCAAATGGCACAATATGCAGAGAGCGTATATTTGGAAACAGAGAGGATTTCAAAGGATTGGCGAAGAGGGGGAATTGGAAATACCCTCCGTTCGTCCATCTGTGTATGTTGTGTGCATGCTAACTTGAAAAATCAGTGTGATACTGACTTCAGTTTTGGAGTGTGGCAGCAAATAGTTGAAAGAAAGGTTACCAAGAAAAATTGGGTTTCCAGGTCAAAATCCAAAATGGCTTCTACTATATGTGTATATTAGTAAAACTTTTGAACTTTTGACCAATATCTTGAAAAATAACGCAACGTGCCAACTTCCATTTTGGTGTGTGGCTACATCTAGGCATATTAACTCTCCGTATCAAAAACTAAACTGGCCACCCATATAAATTGAGAAAACTATACTCTCTAGTCCAACAAAGTTAAGTCAGGTCCTCTGGACGGTTTCTTTTTTTGGTGAGACGTTTCATCCTTCATTCAGTGGGCTTCATCAGTTCGAGGAGCCACAACAAACTTAGTCCCACAAGCAGCACACTCACATAGAGGGCCAACCAGTTTGCTGGTGATAAGATGGTGTTAAGTGGCCACCCTCTCCCCCGTCAACTCCTCTGAGGCAGCCATGGCCAAAGTGGTTCAAAACATCAAAGTTCATGCTCAATAATCCAGATAAAAAAATCCAACAATGTTCAGTCTGGTCATCTGGACGGTTTCTTTTTTTGTTGTTGAGGTTTTTCATCCTTCATGCGCATCCTTCGTATGCTCTCTAGCTTTTTTATTTATTGCTTAAAGTATAGTTTCCTCAAATGATTGGGGTGGCTGAAGATTAATCTATGATGGCCAAGGCCCCCATTGGCCACCCCCTGGCTCCACCCTTGTGCATGGTGGTGGATTAAATGCTCCCGTCACTTGCCAGGATCCGTCACTCTGCTCATATTCAGGCAAGCTAAAACCCCTCTATTGAAACAGGACAAACATTCAGAGTTCAAATCCCTCAGTGGCGGGGACATCAGCATTCTTCTTGTTTAAGCACTTATTTTGCATGTGGGGCTCTTCTCTGGTAATAATTCCCACCCCTTGAAATGATAAAAGACAATGATTTTCTGTGGCTGCCAGTTGGATAATTTAAAAGTTAACTGCAACGCTTGTCTGGCTTTGTGCATAAGAGAAATACAGAGAAGTTGAATTTTTGTTGATGAATATTTCAAGGTAAAATGTCCACAACAACTCAGCACCAATTACATATTATTACCGTAACTGTCTTAATGCTTTCATATTTTAAATGAAAGGGGTTTTCTTTTCATTTTTTTTGTCAGAAAAGGTTCAAGCTTTCCTCGCTGACATTGTCATGTTCACCTTTTTGTCTTACACTGATTTCACTGTAATGCATGTATTCAAAAAGGCAGGAATTATTCATTAAATCCAATGTTTTCTTGAATTCCCTTAAATATCTCTCTTCCCTTGGGGGATGATGGAAGCCTGCACTTTTCTTTGACTTTATCTTTGAGTAAAAATATATGGGACAGCAAACCCAATAAATAAGTGATAAGACAGGAAGTTCGTAGAAGAGAGAGAGAGAGAGAGAGAGAGAGGGAGAGCTTTTGAACAATTTAAGCCCACAGGCGTTTTCAGAAGCAGGGAAAGAAAGACGGAAAGTCCAAACAAGATAGGGAGAAAAAGCTCTTCAGCACCTCAAGCAGATAGATGGAGAAGAACAAGACTTCACACTTAAGGCTTGACATTGCTGAGTGATTGTGATAACAACAACAGCAAAAGAAGAAAAAAAAAAGACAAGTGGGGAAAGTGAGTGACTGAGGCACCAAAGTTGATTTAGACATTGTTTTCACAACTTTGAGTTGGGATTTTTTGACATAATTTTGATACATAAATAGTTAAGATTGAGGCAAAATGTAGACATTTGAACACATTTTCAATCATATTCCTCTGATGGATGATAAAACTAAATGTCCTCAAATGTCCTAAATTGTACCTAGGTGTGAGAGAGTGAATGGTTGTTAGTCTTATTTGTCTCAATGTGACCTTGTGACGGACTGGAGACCTGTCCAGTGTGTCCGCCACCTCTCGCACAGTAACTGCTGGACATGGGCACCAGTAACCCCCGTGACCTGAAAAGGAAGAAGTGGGTAAAAAGGTAATGGATGGAAAACAGGTTGAGCAGAGTAAGTAAAGACAGTAGTACAGTGAAGAAATGTGGTCAATTTGTCATCCAGCGTTCTAAGCCTATAGACACATAACTAAGGGATAGTTCAGGAAACCTAAACCAATCCTAACTATAGGATTTATCAAAAAGGAAAGTCTTAAAACTGGACAATGTGTCAGCCTCACGGACAGAAACAGGAAGTTGGTTCCACAAGAGAGGAGCCTGATAACTGAAAGCTCTGCCTCCCATTTTGCTTTTGGACACTCTAGGAACCACAAGTAAACCTACAGTCTGAGAGCGAAGTGCTCTGTTAGGAAAATATGGAACCTGTGAATAACTGCAATAAATAACACTATCATTAATTTACTTCAAACATTGTCCAGCTCTGTTTTCACTTTCAGGCTAACCTTAATCTTGGTTATATTTATAGGGCAGACTTGGGCAACATATGGCCCCAGGGCCAAAAGTGGCCCTTGTACAATCTCCATCCGGCCCCCCACCCACATTCTAAATGAAAATAAAACATTTAAAAGAACATGCATTTTATCAATGAAATGTTAAGTCAATTATACATTCTAGACAAATACATATAAAACCTTTGGATTAAAATAGGTTAAAACTTGTTCTTCGTTCATTGTCATTTCCAAAACTAGATTAAAGTTTGTTTCGCAACAACAACAAAAAAAAAAAGTCTGCAAAAGGTTTTCCACATTATCTGTATTAAATAAAATTTATTTTCCAATTCTCTATGCGGCACTTTGATTGCCTTAATTATCTCAATTTGGTCTTCTGTAAAAACCTGTTGCCCACCCCTGTTTTAGAGCTTCACAGACAATACAAGCACTGTTACCACAGGTGATAATTGACCCCTGATCCATGGAGGTGACCAGTGGCTGTGAGGGCGTGCCATTATTATCTGTATTGTATTCTTTGTGTGTGCTTTCTGAATGTCATAGTAACACGAGGTAACTTTAGTCACTCTTAATACAATTTTAATTAAACCTTCCCTGGACCTTCTTCACACTGATTGACCCTGCTACACTCCACGACCTATTAGTAAGTGGCTGGTTTGTGAAAACTTCTTTCTGTGTGAAGACAACCATGACAGTATTATGCTCTTAACATTCAATAATACCTTTGCTGTCCTGAGCTGTCATCATGCTCAAGATGCATGTCTACCCTGACACGACTTTCTCAAACCACATCAGGATGCAGCCACACATTAGAACAATCGTCCTCAATCCTGCTCCTCAAGGACAACTATCCTGCATTTTGAGAGGTTTCTCTGCTTCAACACACTTGATGTGTGAATGAGTGATTAACAGGCTTCTGCAGAACTTGAAGAAACACTAAAGAGCAGGGAAACAACTAAACATGCAAGATGGTGGCCCTTGAGGACCTGGATTGAGGACCACTGCTAGAAGATGATGTCATGCTAGCATGACGCTACCACCATGGTTGGCTTGTTAACTTTGTTCATAGTTGTAGTTGAGGATTTAGGACTGCTTACAATTCTCATTAAGCAAGCCATGCTGCTGCTCACGAGCCCCACCTTATAGGTATAAAGCCATCCCTTTCCTCCACACCGCACCCAGGACCCTGATGCACCGCCACCATGGTGGCGATACAGAAGTTTTGTACACACTTGAATCAATCCTAGACCAATCACAATTTGTCTCTTGTTTTATGAGAGACCAAATGTTTTCAGTTTTACTTAAAGAAAAAAAATTTTTTTTTGAAAACTTTATGTGTGTATTCATTTGTACTTGAATTATTAGGTTTTTTTTTTTTTAAGAAATGCTGACATTGCACCCAACTATGCATTTTCTCCATTTTCAGAGTTAGAGTCAGTTTCTTTGTCATTTAGCAAAATTGAGTACACAGGGTCCCAGTTACATCCAACAAGAAAATGTAAAAGAAAAACAGTAATAAGATCTAAGATATGAACTAAGAAAAACATCATCTAAAAATATGCTAAGCACTAATAGGTTATATAATGAGCATTATAATAATTTTGAAATATTTATTATGGATGTGTGAAAAACAATAAAAACGATAAGGCAATTTTTACAACTTTTTTCTGTCTTTTTCACTTTCTCTTGACATCACCGTGTAACGATACACCTGACACCCTACAACAATGCGATAGATGAAAACAGATGTAGAGTACCTGAGGTTACAGAGTCCCAACAGGATGGCCAAGTTTGAAGTCCTCCATGATTGGGCAAGGGGGCAAGTGGGACTTAAAGCCCCCCAACCCTAGTGGTCAGCTCCCGTAAACCTGATCCTGGAAGCTTTAATTCTGAAAGACAGGAGGAAGTGGGGATACTGTGTCTCATATTTCCTTTCAGAGGTGTCAAACTCTGTTACAAAAGGGTGCCAAAATTAAAGCCAAAAACCATTTTCAGTCGATACGTTAACTCAAGTCAGATACATCTTTTCTTGATTGCACGTTCATCAACAAGAGTTTGATCGGTCTCATTTGACGTTCTATGGTGCTCTTTTAACATCAACATTAAAGAATGCTGAAAAATCAAACTTATTTTCTGGCTTTGACTTTAGCAAACTATCAGAAGTTGGCACTAAAATCATTTTTTTAAGAAAAAAGAGGAGGAATAGACATATTTTACATTTAAAATATAATATTTGGGGGCCAGATAAGATGTTCACATGGGCCAGATTTGGCCCAAGGGCCTTAGATTTGACACATGTCTTACATGTAGATGTACAAAATGTTGCTGTTCAACTTTAGTTAAGAACTGAAATCATTGCTTGAGAGGAAATAATGAACATTGCTAAAAACAAAGAAACTACAGTTATTTCATTAGAACCTCTAGCCTTGCTCAAATTGTTCTTCCTATGTCATTTTTTTGTGGTGTTCATGTTGGCATGTTGCCATCAAGTGACATTTCATAGGTATTTCACAGTTTTTGCTTGAATTTCTTCTTCTGGTCCAGATGGAGACAGTTTTAAATGGTGGGAAAGTACATAGACTCTTGCAGTTGGGCCTGAAGTTCATCCATTCCAGTAATTTTGGCTTACAGTGATGAAACATTCAAGTTAAAGTTCAATGTTTATTATCCCCAAGGGGCAATTTGTTTCACAGTTAGTAGGCACATAAAACATCCATACTAGATATGACATTAAGACAGTAAAATAAGCCTACAAAAATCATCATTGTTTATTGAGAAGCCTGATCGATACAGGGATGAATGAGTTTTTCAGTAGGTTCATCCTACATCTGGGCAGCAGATACCTGTGTCCAGATGGAAGCAACATGAACTCACCATGGAGTGGGATGATCAGGATTTGCCAGAATCAGCCTGGCCTTGTTCACTGACATCACCTTATGTAGGTCAGTTAAGCCAGTTCACTCCTTTCATTGAGTTTTCAACCCAATGAAAGGAGTGTCTTCCACCATGACAGTGGTCCCCACACTGAACACGCACACACACGAGTCATTGAATGGTTTTCATAATTACGCAATGACCGTATCAAAAGTCACGTCCTTCTTGATCACCAGAAATTTGCCCAATTAAAGACTGACTGAGAAGTTGGACAAGATGCTGCACAAACCTCATCATGAAGCTAAAACAAACATTTTCAGCCCTTACTACAGAGTTCCACAAAATCATAAAAAATGGTTTTAATGTTTACTGAAGCTGGTAAACCAGTATGTAGTGCCTTACATTGGAAACTCATATTGCTTTTTATCTTGTCCAGATGGTCTGACTGAACATTGTTGGATGTTTACCTGAATTCATTGAGCATGAACTTTCGTGCTTTTTATCTTGTTTTTAATATATATGTATTTTCTTTTTTTTACATCTCTCCCTTTAGCTACCTTCAGCTCTGGACCTGAATGCAACCGATACAGTGGCACTAATGAGGAAAACCACCACCAGTGCATTACCAGTGATTGAGGAGGTTGGTGAAAGCTTCACTAGTGGGGAATCTAAATCTACAGCCAGAGAAGTTTATACACAAGCAACAAAATTAATGCAATTAATTCTAAGCTTTGAACACTTTTTTTTTAATTTGAGTGTTTAATGAAGAAAAAGGAAGCCCCTGCTCCAAATATGACTCCTTCAAGTTCAACTAAAATTTGCACCCAAATGTCTTCAGGTGAAAGTTTTATCTGTCAAAGAAGAAAACGATTGAGTTATTTGGACACAATGACAAGAAGTATGTTAGGACAAGTCTAACTTAAAAACACTACCAACTGTCAAGCATGGTGGTGGTAGCATCATGCTGTAGTACAAAGTATATGGAATAATTAAGGTGGACAACTTCTATATTTCTTAGTTACCTCAAATTAGCAGCAAGATGGTAGAAAGTCAAACACAATTGGGTGCTCCAACAGTACAATGACCCTAAACACACACCAGAACTGGTTTCTGATGGGATAAAACAGGTGAACAGAAGATGGACTCAACACTCTGACCTCATAATTATTGACATTTTGTGAACTTTGCTTTAAAGCTAGGTCTGTGCTAGAACACAAACTAATATATGAAATTGACCAGAGTTCTGGCTTGTTGTTGGATGCAACAAACATGGGGTTTAGGTGCAAGTTGCACTCATTAAAGTTGCATGGTTGTTGTTATTCCATCCATCCATCCATCCATCCATCCATCATCTTTTACCGACTTTTATTTCACGATTGGGAAAAAAAACAGTTAAACTGTTTGAATCTTTTCTTGAAACTTTCTGAAACCCAGGTTGTCCGGCTGCAGAACTCTGCGATCTTTAAGGCAGCTGATTCCTTGGATTTCCAAGATGACATGATGGGAAGTATCAATATGTTACTGTGTGGAAAAAAGCCAGACATTAATTCCACCAAAATGTCCTTCCGTCTACCATCACCAAGACAGACGGCTAACAACACTTCAAACCTGGGCAACAGTTCTAGTAAGTGCTGAACATGAGCCATT